AGCTTAAATTATCACTGTGTTTTTATGAGTACAAGAGTACTTAGGGCTGGTATCGGGACATCACTAGCTAAAACCCATCAAGTCTCTCTTCAAAAAGATATCAATATTTTAGACAGATTCACTATTGGAATATTGTCAATAAGTATGAGATCTTAGATTGTGAAAATTATCAAATGTTCAGTGATCCACGTCTTGTTTTTGGGGTTATAAACGGAATCGCTCCTCCACCTTTAAACTCTTGTATCCAGAAGTATAAAATGGGAATAAAGACCAGATCTCAAACTGGAGTGGACTGTCTTACAGCAGGACGGAGTTTGGGTGAAAGGTGACGTCAGTTACAGGAACATATTTATAGACAAAACCACCAGAATATGTCAGAGACTGTTATTCAGTTATAAAAGCGCACCACTCCTGTGCCCAGAGTACTGTAGCACAGTACGGATCGTGCTTCCGGTCCTGGACCAGTTTTTGTTTTGTTCCTGGAACAGATCGTGCAGAGATACTCACAACCAGGCTATGGTGCAGGTAGGCTTTAAGCCATTGAAAGTCCTTTATCTAAAGCCTATGTTGCCATTTCTGACTGATATGCCGCTCAACTTTTAGATGTCGCTGTTTGTGGAAAAAAAACTTCAGCTGACTTTACTGTAAAAGTGAGAACTGGTGAGTTTGTTTGTTTCTGGAGCTAGCATGCTAGCGCTAGCCTCCAGGTTATTGTATTGGATTCTGTGCTAAATCAGTGCCATTACTGTATATTGCTACATTTATTTGAATGTGCTTACAGAAAAAAAAAAAAAATCAAACATTAATACTTTTTTATACTAAATGTCACTGATGGTGTTCTGAACACCTGCATTTGTATTAATTTGAATAATGAAAAAATTTATGTATATTATACACACACACACACACACACACACGCGCGCACACGTCTATTTTGGAGTTACAGAAACTCTGATAGTTCATCTGATATTTTGCTAAAAGACAAATGAACGCACACGGGTAAAACCATCATCACTCTGCCTTCGTCGGTGGGCGAGACGTTTCGGGGGGGTTAAACCCACGACTGAGAAGAGTGAGAACAAGTTAAGAGCCACGAGAAAACACGAGCTGATCTCAAAAAGTTTGAAATGTTTTACAGAAACAGAAAACTACCGGAACATCCGGCAACTAAACGACGCAGATCTGCTGGTTTCTCCTGCTGTTTGCTGGAAATAATTTCTCCTCCCTCCCATTCCTGCTCTCAAACCCACATGTACCTGTCTCTTTGGTTAACCCCCACCTATCTCACACACACAGCCTCTTCACGCCTGGATGCACAGGAATGTGTGTGGAATGACACGAACTAGCAAAAGAAAAAAACCCTAGGCCTGGTCTGCTCTGTCGTTATGAATGGCCTTTCAGACCCAACAAAGCTGAGGCCAGACTGGTACCATCCCCAGGGGTCAAAGGTCACCCACAGCACTGACAGAAAGGAGAACCCAGAGATGAACGCCTGTCTGCCTTTTTCCAAAACAGATTCGCTCCAACCGGGAAACTCGTGCACACAAACACATTGTGTGATTTAGAAGTAAAAAACAATTATTTACTCGTCATCGTTCATCTGCTCATACGCAGGTCAGTAGATTGCAGGCCTGACGGAAGGAACAGAACAAAAGGAATGATTCGGAAACAGAAATAATCAAAGCACATTAATCAGTGAACTCAAACACATTTAGCAACCCCATCGGCTGAGCTTAAAAAAAGAGAAGGGAATGGGAAACAAAGTGTATGAGACAGAGTTTAAGCTGTAAGCCGCTCGCAGCCCAGGGCACAAGAAAAGAAAAGAACATCTCTTCATGATTAAAAGCACCGAGGAGCAGGAAGGGAAACAGAGAGGAGCTTCGAGGCCCCGGGGCCAAAGGTTCTCTGCAGAAACGAACCAAAGACTGCTAGAAAGTTAAGCTGGGACATGCTCAGGGAGTGAAAGTCAACTCCAGACCTCACGGTCCAGTCTTTTTCTCATTTTCAAAACGAAAAGAAAAAAAAAAAAAAGGAGGAAAGATGAGAAACAGATTTGCTACAAGAGCTGCAAACCAAACAACAAAAAAACAAAACATTGGACATTTTATTTCATTGATCTCAAACAGTTCTGACAGGATTAGATTTACCAAAACAGAAAAAAAAAAAAAAAGAATAAAAACATTTTCTTTGCTCGTGTTTACCGGCGGTGGAAGAAAAGCACATTAGAAAAACCCAGAAACATCAGCGCCGTTTGACAAAGTAGCTCCTTTATCGTGTGCTGCTTTCCCCTGAATTCAGGTCAGAGGTATCATGGGTCACTGGAACAAGCCCGTTACCAGACCGGAGACAGGTAATTCATGGGTTTTCACTTTGGGGTCCACAGGGACCCCCCACCCCCACCCCCCTGCAACCTCCATACGATAACATCCAGGTCCATTTATGCAGTTTTTACACCTCACTGGCTGTGAGGACTTTAACCAGCCTGAACATCGACAGAGGCCAAACAGTGTGTTAATAACCCAAGAGTTAAGTCTTAGATTGTAAATACTGAGATGTAGGTTAATCACACACAGATTAGTTTAAATTCTTATCTAAATCTGACCTTTCCAAGCATCTTTCTTGTGTTCTCCAAGACCACATTTTTGTGTTCTTTAAAAAAACCAGAAATATATATATATATATATATATATATATTAAAAAAAAGTTTTGATCCAGGTTCAATTTTATTCCAAATATTGTCATACAATCACTAAAACGCATGCTCTAAAGCAGACGTGAGCAACATATGACCCGAGGGCCAAAAGTGGTCCTTGGACAATGTCCATCTGTCCATCTCCTGAAATTTATAATTGAAAAAAAAAAAAATAATAATAATAATCGTAAAAAAGGTTAATTTTATTAATGAAACTGAAACAAATTTCAATTAAACCTCTTATTTGAAAACATTTAGATTAAGCAAAAATGTATTTTTAGTTGTTGTGTTTCCAGAACTAGAATGAAACAAAGACTCCAAAAAGCATACCTTATTATTATTGCATATTTATAAATTGTCACAAGTTTACAGAAAGTATGTCTTATATTCCTAAAGATATTTTTGTTACAACACAAACAAACTTGAAAAAGACTAAAAACAAAAAGCCTTGCAGATTATTGACAATAATTTATTTCACCATTCTCTACGCAGCCCTTCGATTGCTTTAAATAGCTTGATTTGGTCCTCTGAAAAAGAAATGTGGTCCACCGTTGCTGTAAAGCACTTCTAAGAGTTTTATTAATTTTTGCGCCTCTCAAAAGCACAAATCTTACGTTAAAAATATCCGGTACGACGTCACTTCTCTGCAGACACAAGTAAATGAAAATAAAACCTTTTATTCATTCACTTTATCCTGTTTAATTGTAAATAATTTGCCACATTGACAAATTCTGTTTCGTTAAATGAAATATAAACAGACTTATAATTTAGCGACGTGGATTGATAATAGTTTGCAGAGATTATTTCAGTTTCGTGTTGCACAAGCCACTCGTTTCCCAAGGAGGAGGTCTTCTCAGGTGAATTATCCACCTGGTGGGTCAAAGGTCAAAAGGGTCATTAAACACTTCAACAGATGCAACTCAAGGAGGCTGAGGCAGGTTTAGGGGATTAAACGGTGGTATTAGCGCTCTGTTCGCTATCACCGCCTGCATTCCACACAGACAACAATGAACACTGCTGACAAGATGGACATTAGCCTGCTAGCTAGCTAGGCAGATGTTTTAAAACCAAACACCAAGAAATTGTTAACGTTGTTTTGGAACAATCATAACAGTTTGATAGTCGCGCATCAAGCATGTCATTTAAAAAAAGATAATAATAAAAAAACCTTTAAACAGCAGTCACAGTTATTGTCTAAACAACGGATTCTCCAAGCTACAGGTTAGCTAACAGCTGTTAGCTAGCAGGCTGTATGAAAACATGAAAACTATTGCTTTTATTTTTGTTGTACTTCTTTACAGATTTTTTTTTTTTAAAAACAAAAATGACACCATTCATTGAAAAGAAGTCGCCTTTCTGCTGATTAAACAGCAGTCAGTTATTGTGTAAACCAAAGGATAAGCCACAAATTAGCTACCAACGGCTAGCTAGTAGCGATACACTTTTCTGGACTAAACATGAAAACTTTTGTTTTTATTCTTGTTTTAAAAGTGCTTTACCAAAAATGACACTGCATTTAAAAGTAAATATCCCTTTCTGACCAAATGTACTGTTAGCATTTTACGCTAATCAACTGGATAATGATACAATGGGTTAGCTGGTAGCTTTGCACTGCGGTCTGCGCTCCATTTTAATTCTATTTTTTTAATCTTGTGTCATTTGAAACAAAAACAGAAGCGTTTGTCTGCTTACTACACACTTAGATTTTACTGAGACCTCAGGAGATACATTAAAACGACACCGACTGCATCACAGAGAGACGTCTGTTTTATAAAAGAACACGTTGACAAATACATGGCACTGGAAGATGGAAATACAGAAATCTGAATAATAAAAATGTACATCACTTATTGTAATAAAAACACGTTTGAAGCCAGATCTTGTTCTTGGTGTTGAAAACCAATTAAACAGTGTTCTCTGGTCTCTGAGTCCACTTGGTCCTGGTTCTGGCTGATTATAGCACAACTGAGCTGCCGGGCAGAAACATTCAACAGAAAGAAGCAAAAAGCATGGAATCACTGAAGATTACACTTCACTCTGAAATGACAAAAGTGCTGAAATGTATCTGTGCCTTATTCTCAGACGTTTCTGAGCTGGCAGAGGAAGATGAGGAGCCTGATGAGGAGCCTGATGAGGGCCTTAAAGTCTGAACTACACGTCACACCTGAGTAAAGAGGAGGTACTTTTAAAATATAATGGAATAAAAGAAGCTAAATTGTTAATTTTTTTATTTTAACAGATTAATGAAAGACGCCCAGATTGAAAACATTTCTAATTATACATATATCAAAATGATGAATCTGACATTAATGCTTTTTTTGTTTCCTTTGGTTAAAGGTTAGACATTTTTAAACTACTTATTAATTTCAGATGGAGAAGAAACGGTAGAAATAGTGTAAACTCTGTCGCTCCTCGTGGTTTGGCAGATGTATCGGGGTCCTATTCTTGGTCGATGTAAAAGTAGTGAAACTGTAAAAACCATCGTGTGACTCGATCACCTGGTCACTCCAGGTGACAGGCTCCAGCCAGCGTCTTGACAAGTCTCATGCTTCATCCTTACTGGCGAACGTTTTTCCCTCTCGTCCCCGGTAATGAAGACATTCTCCCTTCTTCCTCGGAGTCCGTGCTCAAAGTGGGTCACGGGGAAAAGATCCAGACTGCTTTTGGACACGGCTGCTCACCTGAGTTCTCTATTCACGTCCAGGAAAGAAGGCAGGGCAGCTAGAAAGTCACGGTTGCCGTGCCCTTATTCTGAAAGGTCATTGTCTGGATACTGGAAAGGATTTTTCTCTGATGTCCGGCTAAAGTCACTCCCATGTGAAGCAGATCCCTGAAATGAGGGGAAAAAATGTTTACACACTTTTTATTTTAAATAAAAGACAACCAGCAGAAACTATTTGAACCTAAAACTAGTGCAAGCAGGTGAAAGCTGCAGAGTTGAACTAAGACGATTTGAACGTCAGATCGGTAAAGGGGGAGCAGAAACTGACTGTGCCGTGATCTGGGCCAGCTGATCCACCGAGTTGAAGCCAGCCTGCAGGAAGCTGTCCTCGTAGCGCTCCATCTTGATGGCCCTCAGCCATTCCCCGATCGAAGAGCACGGCGAAAGTGCTAAAGGTGCGCGCTGGTCCAGCAGGGGGCAGGACGGCCTGGGGGACAGAGCCCACAAACAAAGCAAGCGCTTACATCGACAGTCACCGAAACAACGGCGAGCAGCTTCAACGTCCTCCAGCAACTCTCCGGTTGACGGGTGGAGGTACAATCTGAGGCCGGGTGACTGACGGAGACAAACAAAGGGATTTGTCAGGGGTGGGGGCGCGTCTTCAGCTGCACGTGACCAGCTGACAGGCAGAATGCGAGCGAGGGGAAATGGACACAGCAGGAAGCTGACAGGTCCCAGCAGGACACCGAGGCAGCGTCTCAGAGTGGACAGTAGGAGGTTAACGTCTCTGCTGTGACAGTCACAATTTCAAATGGACCCCAAGAACGAGACATTAAAGCCCTTTTCAGTGCGGGACACAAATATTGCCGGCCTCGTCTTTGAGTTAACGGGACCGTCTGTCACTCTGACACAGAGATGTAGATCACTCCGGCAGTAATGATGCCGAGGCTGTCGTTAAGACGCACCAAATAGAGTGAAGGACAAAGCTGACGGAAACGCATACGAGGTGAAAAGTGAGTCATTATGTTTGAGGCTCATTGCTACAACATAATCTGTTACCAAGACCCTTAATATCCACAGCAATCAACTCACAGCTGCACGGGATCAGCAAAAATAACTTCTTTCTTATGTTTAGCTTAGTTTGAACCTTTTGGAAAGTTATGAGCAATTAATATCTTACCTGCTGTAGGTAGCTCTTTGAGCAGCCTCAGTTTGAAGAAACAGGAGTTTAATTCTGATCAGACTGACGAGCTAACGGCTGCCATCTTATACTAGTAACAACCTCAAAAGCTATCGCCATTCAATTGTTATTTTAAATTACATATTTAACTAATTTGTTATTTCTGTCTGAAGTGTCCCAGGCTGTTCCAGAAGAGCTACAATGAGCAAAACAAAAACATAAATCTCGAGTATTATAAGTAAATTACCATGTAAAGCCCTTTTGTCAAACTCAAGGCCCTGGGGGCCAAATATGGCCCTTCTGAACAGCTTCTCTGGCCCCCAAGATGACATTTTCAAAGTAAAATATTTTTGTCGCTTGACATTTCACCAAAAAATAAAATAAAATTGAGCATATTTTTATTTAGTGAAGACGTCTCATGAAAGTTGGCCAACCTTGAAAGCCAAGAATAGAATTTTCCATAATCTTTGATTTTGATGCAGGAAAGTCAAATGAGACCAAAGAAACTTGTTGAGGAACCTGCAACCAAGAAAAAAGTCTGACTGGAGGTAATGTATCGAGTGAAACTGTCTCTTGGCTTGAAATAAATTATTAATTTTGGCCCCCCTTTTGTAACAGTTTGACACCCCTGGAACATTCAGTTGTTTCAAGATGTCAGCAATCCGCTCTGGACTTGGCCCCGTTAGGACGAGCCATTAATTCATCAACCTGATCAGAATCAAACTAGTTCTCTTTAATATAATTCCTGTCCTAACGATATAAATGTCAAAGAGGAGAGGATGCAGCACGACCATAAATGAGAGCAAAACACCATTAGCTTTACAATCAGCTGCCAGGAAAAACAAAATGACTCCATCCCAAAGCGCTCGGAGCAGAGACACTGCAAACCAACCAGGCGTGCCCACAGCCGTCACTGACCCCGCTCTGACCAGACCTCCCGCACCGCCTCCCCAGAACTTTAGTATCTAAAATCTAACTTTATACTAAGAGAAAGAGCACGTGCAGCCTGTTTGTGTGTCTCTGTGAGACTCATGTTTCTGCTGCTATTCCTCTTATTAATAATCGATGTATCAGTACCCCCTACTAAAAGGGGGTTATTTGTATGACTCAGATTATAGCTAAGATGTGTGTCTGTTTAACTTTAATTTTTACCACAAACTCCCAAAGTTCTCTCTATGAGAGTCAGCTTCAGGTGTTTGTAGTTTATCAAACATATCTGTATGTTTTAAACAATTTACAGACATGTACAAATACATCATGGATTTAGCCCCAGTACAATATCCAGGTAAGCACAGGGGTTTTATGTCAGCAGGGGTCTTGTGTACGCTTGTGAAAATGTTGAAAAATGTAAACAACCCCTTATATGATCTCTGATATTACAGATGCTACCAAAACAAAGAGATGTGTCACCCAATAACATTAACAATAAATAAGTTTATTTTCCCTCTGCCTGTGAAAAAGCGCACATGTTGCTGTTTGTCTAAAATTCAAAGTTTTCACTCTTACCCTCCTCCTTCCTGAGCAACTATTTTCAGAGAGGCGGGGTTGCGGATGAGTTTGTCCAGAGCGCTAACGAGGTCTGCGAAGCGGGGACGAGCCGAGCGGTCCTTCTGCCAGCAGTCCAACATCAGCTGGTGCAGGTGGGTGGGGCAGTCGGGCGGTGGGGGCAGCCGGTAATCTTGTTCTATGGCATTGATTACCTGACGGGGAGACAAACGATCGCTGATCAAACAAGAAAACCACATCTGGATCAGTTTTCACTTTTTAGGGGTTTAGTGAGGGGGCAAATACGGCATAAAAACTTTATAAATTTACCATTGTAATTAAGTTCCTCATATCAAACTAGTCATGTATGCATCTTTAGGAGTTCAATTATGGATAAATTTGTCTCAGACTCACATCCTGGTTGCTCATGTCCCAGTAGGGCCTTTCTCCAAAAGACATGACCTCCCACATGACGATGCCGTAGCTCCACACGTCTGAGGCTGAAGTAAACTTTCTGAAGGCTATCGCTTCCGGCGCTGTCCAGCGGATAGGAATCTTACCTCCCTGCACGGAGAAGCAAGACTCAGCTCTGCAAACCATCACGTTACTGTGGCAGATTTTTACTAGTCATAAAAAAACTTTTCGACAATTGTCATGTGGGAGAATTCAACCATCTCACCAGGGAGCTGGTGTAAGTCGGGTCGGAGGAGTTCTCCTGTAAGAAGCGCGACAAGCCGAAGTCGGAAACCTTGCACACAAGGTTGCTGTTGATCAGGATGTTGCGCGCAGCCAGGTCTCTGTGGACGTAGCTCATCTCTGCCAGGTACTTCATGCCAGAGGCGATGCCACGCAACATTCCCACCAGCTGGATGGGAGTGAACTGGCTGTCATTCAGCTACAGAGAGCCGAGACGGGAGGAGAAAATAATTAAAAAAATCAGCTGGAGGAGAGGTGACATCACCATGTCTTATATAGTCGACAGTTCAGATACTTTGTGTCGAACTGACCCGCAGAAACGAATCCAGAGCTCCGTTCTCCATGTACTCTGTGAGGATCATGACGGGGCAGCTGGCAGTGATGATTCCCTCCAGGTGGATGATGTTGGGGTGCTGGAACTGTCCCATGATGGATGCCTCAGACAGAAAGTCCCGCCTCTGCTTCTCTGTGTAGCCTCCTTTCAGGGTCTTAATCGCGACGTAGTTCTCTTTTTTTCCTGGGATCTTCAGCCGTCCTCGACACACCTCCCCGAACTCGCCTGCAGCAACACAGACACACATCAGACCTGCTTGCTGCAGCATTATGAGATCGTCTGTTTTATTTAACAAATGCAAAGTTGGCTTGAAGCAAGTGCTGCCCTTTGTGTTTAAAGGAGGGACAGTTCTGTTAGCAACATATTTATCAGTTAATTGTTTTATTTCTGTAACTCTATTGAATTTAGTCTGAGTCCAGACGAGGCTCCAAATGACTCTGAATCAATTAAACTGACCAAATTGGACATAAAATAATTGTATTCTTTCCAAGAAGAACAATCAGGTAAAAATACAATCCAAATGAAGAAAAGGCTGTAGGGAGGGGCAAAACAAAGTTCACACATTTGTGTTAGTGGGAAAAGCTCTAGCTCAGGCGTACCCGCGCCGATAACCTCCTCTATCTTGACAAAGGAAACATCAATTTCCTTGGCAAACTCTCGCACCGCCTCATTAGGGTCCTCGTAGGTGAAAGGGTCGATATAAACCTTGACCCCTGGGAGAGAGAGAGACAAACAGTCGTGGGAAAGGACAGAAAAAAAAATGTTAAGAGAAGTGAGAGCACCGGTGCCATCAGGAGTGACTCTTCTGACGTGAACAGGCTGCAAGTCAGCCGAGGTATGGTGATGAGTTACCTTGTCCGGTAAAGTACTGGTTGTTTTTGTCACTCAGCTCTGGATCTTTTATTTGGCTGTGTCGGCTGCAGGCAGAAACACACCGGTGTGAACACAACAGGAACACAAAGAATCAACATTTAACTTCCGTTATTTTGACTGATGACGAATAGACAAAAGTTTAAACAAGCGGTACGTTGATGTCCCCCGCCCTTGAGGGTTTGAATAGTAAACGTTTGTAGTTTTTGAGATGAGTGTTTTTTTTTTTTCAGAACTGAAACTGAATAGAAAATGTAAGTAAACTTTAATATTTCTCCACTGAGGTTGGAGAAACATTGTGTATTCTCCACCACACCATCCAGAGTGTACTCCCAATGGCAGGAGAACAACATGAAGGTAGATCCACCCAGAGCTAAGACTGAGCAATACTGGAGGAGCATGTGATAGAAGTATGCATCACACAATAATGATGGCTCATGGCTACAAGAGCCAACATCTCAACACAGCAATCTCCCAGAACAAGAACCAGTGCTCATTATGTGGCAGACATCCAAGTTAGAGTTCAGGAATAAAGAGATGGACTGCACCTGGGCCTGACATGATCCACACCTACTGGCTAAAGAAACTGACTAATCTCCATGAATGCCTAGTCGCACATGAACCAGCTGTTAACGGAAGGTTCCCACCCAGAGTGGTTGACTCAACAGTCCTGAACATGAAATACCTCCAGAAAGAAGCAATTCCATCCAACTACCTGTCAATCACCTTCCTCTGTGCAACGTGGAAGCTCCTATCAGGCACCATCAGCCACCCTACCAGTGGTTGGGGAAGGTGAAACACCCACACCTGCCTCCACCCTCATTTGCCCCACTCTGGGCACTTCAGCAAGGCACTTAACCCCCACCATCTGCTCCACACAGAAGGCTGTGGTACCTCGGTGGTCTGTGGTTGCGTCAGGAAGGGCATTCGGCATAAAAACAATTGCCAAGTGTGCAAGTCAGTTCACTGTGTCGACCCTGAGGAAGGGAGAAGATTTTTTTTTTTAAATATATACATGTCATTTGCCATTTTGGATTTTGATATGGCACCCCAACTTTTAACAGTGACTAGATCAATCCACACACCAAAATAAAAGTCAGTACCTCACTTATTTTTGAAGTTTTCATGCTCATGACATGAATGAATGTCGTAAGATGCATGAGAGATGAATGATATGTTCAATTCCACCTCTTTGCTCTGTGACGGGGGACAACTAAAACTAAAAAAAAAAGCTTTTTTCCCCCACAACATTTTATATGAAAGGGTCATAAAATATTGCAGCTTATTGATAAATTTGTGAAATACTTTATCGTCTGTGACCCCCCAGGAACCATAACGTGGAGAATTGTTTTGAAGGTTGCTCTCTGTTTAAAATGCATCCTCATAAATTCCGCTCAGTATATTTTTTCTGCCACAAAAACTGCCTTGTTTGGGACGGCCTTTGCTGTCCCTGAACAATCCTCGGAAATCTTGAGAAACACAATACAGGACGACTTGTAACGGTGAACATCTGAGCCAAACCCTGTGGGTCCTGCTCTTTGACACAAGCGGCTCCATTAGAATTCTGCCGGCGCAAACTCATCCCTTACAGGACCATAACGAGCCTGTAGCTACTGGATTGCTGCCTTTCCCTCTCTTACTTCATAGGCCTAAAATAGCAGTAAGCACCACCCTCAGTTAGTGGCAGATCTGGGCCTCAGTGGCTTGGTTTTGTGTGTGTGTGTGTGCGCACGCCACAAGGTCACAGCTATTGTTCTCCTGTCCTGTGGAAACAGGGCCGGGACGCCTGCATCCTGTCTTTCCCTGCCCTCTACCTCTATCGTCATCTCCCTCTCATCCCGGCGCAGACACTTTCTCCCCTTCCCTCGCCTGTGATGGCGTTCAGCACTATTTACTCAAACAATGAAGCCTCAGGAAGACGTCCTAACGAGCAGGATAGCTTTTAGTTGTGTAAGCGAAAAACACTGGACGCGTGCGTCGCTTTGTGTCTGAGCCGCTTCAAGGAGAGAGTTGAAGTGTGGAAAACGGTGCGAACCCACCGCTGATAAAACAAATAAACAAATAAGTAAATAAACTAAAGAACAAAGTGATGCAAAAATGGTAAAAATTGTGGTCGCGGTTGTTATTGGTTTTCAATCTCTTCTATTTTCTTCTATGTATCCTGTTGTTTTGTCAGCTTCTTCTCTGCCTCTTTTCCTTTTCCCTCGTTCTCACCGTATGCAGTAGGCGGCCACGAAGACGAAGGCAACGAGCAGCAGCATCCCGACAGCGATGAGGATGCCAGGTACCAAGAACTGCGAGGCAGAGTCATATCCTGAGAGACAAAGGAGACAGAAAAAAAACTGAGTTTACACTGCTGGTGAGGAGAAGTAGAAGAAAAAAAAGGGACATTACAAGAATTTATTTATTCAGCAGAGGCTCAACACAAGGACATCGTCTCCCAGCCGATGAATTCATAACAAAAAGGAGCACAGGGTGAATACGCTGATAAGAATCTTAAAGAAGAATTCCTGGGAACAAAACAGGGAGTTGCAAGCGTGAGACTTTTCTTCAAGAGCAAACAAGAACATTTTACCATCAGGCAGGGTGCGGAAGACAGCTGCAGAGCTGAAGCTGCCGTAACCAGCCAGGGTGCGCGCCCGGACCTGCACGTCGTACTGCGTGGCCCTGCGGAGGTCTGTCAGCACCACCTGGTTTCTTTTAGTCTCTGTGTACAAGCACTGACTTTCACTGAGCCTCTCCTGCCAAAGCAAAATGAGAAGGAAAAAAAAGTTGGACTGGATCTGAACTTACAGCTGGAGGACAAAAATGACGTTAATCCACAGATGTAAGAACATCTGGAATCAAAGAAACCTGAATTTTCACATTAGAGAACTGTCTTTGAAGGGATCTCTGACTACCTGCACATAATATGTTACTTCTCTATTCTTCTAAAAGTTGTTCGTGACACGTGAAAACTCCTAAATACATGAAACATTTGATGTTTATTGCATTTTTCGCCTAAGGACATCAGCATTATTTTACTGGTGAAATGCATTCTGGGGCGATGGCGTGCATCGGTTGTAGTGGAGACTAACACACAAGGAGTCAAGAGTAAAAAGTTATAACGTGACAATAAAAAGTAATATTTTGTATTAGTCCTTGTGCACAATATATGGGCTGAATCAAACTTGATTAACTTGTGATGTTTAATTTATTAGTTCTGGAGACATGAAAGCTGAGTCATCTCTTCATCCTCCGGTTCAGAATAAATGGCTGAACATCAGACGATGTCCAAAATTAACATTCAAGCTGAATGGAGCTCACGCTGGAGCAGCCTGTCTACGCCATTTACCCAGAATGCATTGCAATGTAAATGAAATGGTGACATGTGTGTCATTAATAAAAAATAAAAAAAACTTTTAAAAACTAAACAGTATTTTTATGATCTTGTTTTTATAGCTGTTTATCAAATAAAGTCTATTGTTCCGACTAGTCGGAGATTCCTTTCAGCCGTTGTTCGGGCTTCAGCTGAAAGGTGTTGTCGGTTACCTTCTCGCAGTAGCGTAGCTGATACTGCAGGATGTTGTAATGTGGCTGAGCCGGGACGGACCAGTGCAGAGTCAGGCTGCTCTCTGTGGACTCGCTCTTCCAGATCACAGACACCAGCGACGGCACTGCACAGACGGCGGCACGTTTAGAAGTTTCCCATCAAACCCACGACTGCTTGAACCTTTTCACCTGCGCCGCTCACCTTCGTGGCTGGTGGTGATGTTGATGCTTTCGCTGGCGGGCTCCTTGCTGCTGAGCGAAGACACCCCGTTGAGCGCCTGAACGGTGAAGGTGTACGTGGTGTGAGGCAGCAGGCCCCACACCTCCACTCTGCGTCCTAGCAGGCCGTCCTGCGAGGGGCGATAGCTGACGCCGTCCCCGCACGGGAGGCACGAGCCCTTGGCGGACCTGCAGACGGAGCACCTGATGGCGTAGGTCAGGTCTTTCCTGCCGCCGCTGTCCACGGGCTCGTTCCACTTCAGGGTGAGCATGGTGTCGTTGATCCAGGGGTCGAGGTTGCGCGGAGCCGAGGGAGGCTCTAAACAGTGAAACGATTCAAATCAGACATGTTCATTTTTTACAACAAACTCTAAAATAAATCTGTTTAAAAGAAGTTCATCTGTTGCTTGGAATGTTTGTTTCTTGTAAACAGCAGCGCTGCCGTCAGATTCAAGAGTTTTCTGCAACATTAACATCATTACAGCAAATGTTGCAAATGATAATTACTTTTTTTTTTGCACAGCTAATCTAAAAAAAAAACAAAAAAACCCTCAAGTAGTTATTCTGCAAACATCACATTTTTCTTGTTGCCTCTCAGTGCCAATATAAAAAACACAACATACTCTACGGAGCTTTTTACTGATGTTTGACCTTTTTAACCATCCAGGCAAACCCCTTATTTAAAGTTTTACATACAAGAGTACCACATACGGCACACCATACGCCCATCAACAAACTATTATACAGCATTATAGCTGGCTCAGACAAGCAAAGACCTTTGACCTTGATTTGTGACCTTAACCTTGAAGCTGGGGTCATGAAAAATACATGTGACACTCCGTCTGGTGATGATGCAGATGTGTATGAAGTTTCATTTAATTATCTTGAGTGGATCAGATGTTACAGTCCGGAAGAGAAAAAAGTTTACGGACGTAGATTATATAACACGACATCGACTGGCGTTTAAAAAACGGAGGATTTTTTTCGGTCTTGAAGCAGAGCGGTGGCTTTGCATCACAGCAGCAGCAGCGTGTGCCGCAGAATTCAACTGGTGTAACTCCATCTATAACGAGGACGAGGATGATCATCGTCTGAGAACTGGAAGAAGACAGTCGTCGCCTCGAGCCAAGCGTATTTAAACAGAGCGACCGCGCGGGCGCCGTGAGTCAGCATCACTTCCTGCCGAGGAGACAGAACTTAGTCGCTGAGCCCCCCGGGTAATTTCACTTCTAATGCTGTTCTCATTGGAAACTCAAGTGGGACAACATCACACTCCATCAGAGCTCATGCTAATGCCCACTTCCAGGTAATCATAGCTCACTTTATGGATGTCGCTCAAGCAGCTACATTAGTATAAAACACTTATTTCCAGGGGGTGGAGGGATTTTGCATACAAATTGAAAATATGTATTGTGAAGATGTGAAGACTAAAAGGAGATTATATAATTAAAACAGTCAAATTAAAAGATAAATAATAAAGATAAAGAACTGTTAATTAAAGTTATCACTAATAATAATAATAAACTGGTGGATGTTTGTATTTAGATCATGCCTGCAGAGGACGGAGCGAGTCAACAACCCCACACTGATCCTCACTAACATTTCCATGGCCATTCCAACAGAGGGAACTTAAAAGTCCGTTTATCTTTCCCACGTTTTTAGCACGTGGCTCGTTTGGCATATTTGTTTATTTTCACTCATTCATTTTTATTTATTAACCTTTAAGCAGCCAACTGAGATCACAGAACTCTGGACCTGAAGGCAGCCTAACGTGCATGTTTTGAACTCTGGGAGGAAACCAGAGTACCTGGAGAAAACCTACGAGGAATACATGCAAATTCCAACCAGAAAGACCCCAGGTCCAAACGGGGATTGAACCCAAGACATTCCTGCTGTGAGGCAACAGTGCTAACCACTACTCCACTGTGCTGCTCATATATTAAAACGTTCAGCTCATTCAGGACATTACCCTGGGACTTTTGGTATACAGTAGTCCCTCACTACTTCGCGGCTCGACTTTCACAAAGTTGCTCTTTCGCTTTTTTTTCAACGATTGTCTATTTTAATATTACTCATGTGATTGGGACCGTATGGGATAAAAAGTTAACAAAAACAATACTTCAGACAGGCGCTGCCATTTTGTAGTTTTCTTTCAATGAGCCTACACTGTAAGGCCAGTCAAAGAACTACAATACCCAGAAGCCAACAGTGCTTCCGGCCGCTGCTTTCTGCTGAAATGGAGGGAAAGTTTTGCAACTCAAAGTAACGATCTATGTATTAAACTGATAGAACTGGCAGGAAAGTTGCAAATAATCCTGAAGCTCAATTATCCACACGCACATCTACCTGGACGGGGAGGTGGGCTTTGTCGCTGCAGGGTAGGTGTGCAGAACTGGAACCAAGCCTGACCAGAACCGAGCTGCTGGTCTGCAGAGCTGGTGAGTAAAATTTTGCAGTACTGTACAGTACATGTTAAAATTATGTAGTTTTAAGAGTTTAGAACATTGCAAGAATGTGGGAAGGGTTTATAAAGCCTTAAAATATACGTCCCGTATTTTCCTGCGTATAAGTCGCAGTCTTTTTCATAGATTTGTCAGCCCTGCGACTTGTACACCGAAGCAACTTATATATATATTTTTTCCATAGTCATAAGGCAATTTTTGACTGACGTTTTAAATTTTGAAGAACTACAACAGCGAGTCCTCCCGTGAGCGCTCACTTCACTCAGCTGGTGCAGGCGGAGGAACACTGGAGAGCTAGCGGCTCCGGTCATGATGGATGGATGGCGCCGCCCAGGCGAAATTAAGCTGTTTTGACCATTAAATAAACGCATAATAAACGCGAGGGGTCAGCGGTGATGCATAATAAATGCGACTTATACGCCAAAACGACTTAGATGTTTTTTTCCTCTTCATGATGCTTTTTTTGACTGATGCGACCGATGCAACTTTTACTCTGCACCGACTTTTACGCTGGAAAATACGGAAAATACTAAAATAAATATAGCGTTCCTACTTTGCATTTTTTCACCTATCGCGGTGGTGTGTGGAACGTAACACCCGCGATAATCGAGGGATTATTGAGGTATGTGAAATTTTTACTTTTTTAAATATTTAGCTTTGTCGGCCATGTTTTTCCCATTGAAAATGAATGAAGCTCTCTTCACATCCTTCACACATTTAAAAAAGGCTTACAACCTTTTTATTGCTCATTTCAGCTTTTTTCTGCTCCTTTCTGCTAAATTCAGCTTTTTTTTTTTTTTTTTACACATTTCTTGTTTTCTTGCTTTCAGTAAATGTCAACTGTTCAAATTCAGCTCACATTGACAGTTTAACAGACAAATGTTTTCAGCTGGTTTCAGCAATAAGCTTCCACACAGTGTTCTCACAGGAAATGACATTCCTCTTGCTGAAAGGTGCCTCCCGTTCATGAGTCAGAAATGCTCCTGAATTTAAATTCCTGAACGCACACTGAGGTGTCACTTCAGACTTTTAGTAGCCCAGTTTGAGACGGAGCCCTGCCCCCAGGAACCCGTCACTAAAGACTCGCATGTCAAAGCTCAGCAGCAGCACAAAGGAAACAAAGAAACCAGACTAAATACCACCACAGAAGAAGAGGAAGGACAACAGAGGTCCCAGAAACAAAGTGAGGAGGAGCAGGAGAGAAATGGTTGCTTCAGCTTACTGGTGCACGGGGTCTCTGGAGTGTCCGAACTGGCACGGAGGAACTCGGAGCGACACGTGCACACCGACGCCCCCATGGTGCTGGACTGGCTGTATGCTGGACAGGTCCTGCACTGTCCCTCTGTTCCCGACTTGAACTGACCTGCAGGACAGGCTGAAGACGACAGAACAGGAAATCAAATACTCCAGACGTGACTTTCTGTCCTCAGCAGACCAACCATCCTTTACTGGCTGGTGCTGAGGTGGCAGATGGTTTCAGACTGACAGGGTTGTGTAACGAGAGCTATAAATTGAGATAATTGCAGTAATGAGGCTGATGCTAACAGCCATTTTAAAGAAAATTACCTGACATCTGCCCATCATTGGACTCACCTGCTTCATTTCTGGATCACAGCATCAGATATTTGAGAGTCTAGCTTTGCTCCACACCTTTTTATAACTAAAAGCTCATTCTGTGCCACTTCAAATGTTAAAGACAGAACGAGTCTGAACTGGTGCTATTAGGATTCGTGGAGTAATCAATTAGCTGTTTAGCCCTTGTATTGTGTTTTGAGGAAGGATCAGCCACATATTTATTCTTGTCAGTTTATTTTGGGACAGTCAAACACGAGTTTTCAGAAAAAAGCCTAAATCCTTCTATTTTTCATTTTATCTTGTCAGAATGTTTTCAAACGCTCTCATAACCTCACAGTAAATTTACTACACTCGTGTTCCCGAGGAACAGAAAATACAACTTTTAATCGCATATTTATCAGATCATAAAATAATGCATTCCTCTCAGCGATGTTTTTTCTTTTTACCTCCATCCCGATCCTTTTCATGTTCATATGAGCTCATTAGGAGGTGCCCTGCTTGTATACTTCAGAGCCTCTGTAAAAATCAGACGGGTCGCTTCAACTCCCCCTAGAAGCAGAACCTTCTCTCAGCCAGACGTCTCTGCAGAGTCCCGTCTCTCGTCTCGTCCGACAAAATTGCTTTAGTTTGGATGTAAAGAGCAACAACTCACTTGTACTGTGCCCAAGTACATATTTAGTACTAAAAAAAAGCTGTTTCACATGCATGCAGGCTGCAGCATCAGACGCTCCACTGCTGAGAACGACTGTTGTTTTTGCCCAAAGAACGGGTGCACCGTGCTCCTGCAGCTCGCTCAGATATCTGGGTCAGTACAGACGAAAAGTAAATAAGAAAATGGAGTTGTCCACAGGTGGAGTTTAAATAAAAATGTCAAAATAATAAAAAAGGAATTTAAGTTAGAAAAAACATCCATGTTCGCCAACCAGGGACCCGTTGAAGTTTGAAAAGAAAGGCTCAGTTATGGATTTTGAAGGGTCCGTTGGGCTGGGGGGTGGGGTGGGGGGGTCTTCACAAAACTCCAGGTTAGAATTTTTAATTAGAAAAAAAATTAAACTAAACTCATTATTTTGGGCATACTGCTTGGGCAAAAGGTAGTTTTCTCAAAAAACAAAACAAAAGAACTGTCAAAGTAAATATGTTGATTTTTTTAAAAACTGAAATGTGTTTTAAAATTGCATTTTTATTATTAGTTATTTATTTACCACTAAAGTTAAAATCTTTTAAACTTGATGTTTTTATTTCAAGCTGAGAG